ATTTCACACAAACTCTTCATTGCATTTAATTTACACTTCATTTCAATCAACGAAACACTCGTTACTTTTGAGCACATTTTGTAAATGAATTTATTATAATTTATATACAAATTTTTAAAACATAAATGTTTTTGTTGTTTCGTGTGTTAAGTGTTGTCAACGACTAAACGGGTATTAAATGCCAACGAATGTATAGAAAGGGATAAACATTTTTATCATTTGATAAAATGTTAATCATATTAGAGATATTGAATCAAACCCCAATGATATGATTGAGTTAAAATAATTTTAAATCAGTTAATCAATGTCTCATTTCTATATATTTATCATGTGCTTAATCATAATCCTTAGCAATCCCTTTGTATAAATGTTTAACAAAATATTTGCCATTACTTTACAGGCAATTGTCAGTCATTTATTGTCTATTATAAGTTATAATTTATAACACACTTCATATACACTGACCACTCGTAGACTCGTAGACATATCATGTGTATAACAGTGTACTCAACATAACTAATAATTAAAATTTACTTAATCAACATTGTATTACAATATTTAAAATGTCAGGCAAGCATGCATATTTAAATATAAAATATCATGATAATCGTAATGTTGTGCCAATGAAAGTTGCCGTACCATCACATGTGGTCACTATCAAAGATCTCAAATGTTTACTACAGGCTAATTGTCTATACAATGCCAACACCGATATTGTTTTGCTTCAATATATACATAGACACAATTCGAGCGCCATATTGTGTCCTGATGAATTAATATTTCGAAGAGCTGATTATGATATTTATATTAGTCCGAGATGTGATCTGATTCGCAATTATCATTCATCGAGGTATGTATTTCTATGTAAAGTTTGTTTTGTGAACTTATAATAAAATGTTTGTTCAAAACTATAGTCCGAGCGAAGAGTCGGACCAAAAGTGTCGTGAATTGTGTGAAGAGATGTCGGCTCTGAAGGCAAGCAATGAGTCCGAAGTGAAGGCATTGAAAGCACAGCTCAAGTCAGCCATCGACTCAATGCATACAATAAAGAAAGAGATCAATGATTTGAAACAAAAATTTTCGACTTGTGATAAGAGGTTTGATATACAGTAATCAATAAACAAATACTATATTTTTTTTATTGAAACACATATTACTTTCTCAGTAATCAGGAAGTGGTCACAGATTTATGCGATTTATCTGTGAATACCATTATTATTAGTGAAGAGATGTCAGCTTTGAAAGCATATAATGAGTGCGAAATGAAGACATTAAGGGCACAGATCAGCACATCTGGGGATTCAATGCAGACAATGGCCGAAGAGATCAATGATTTAATACAAAAGTTGTCGACTTTAGATAAAAGGTTTGATATAATCCTTAAGCAAATGCTATATTTTATTTATAGACATATTGTTATATAAAAGCAATAATTTTTTCAGTAATGAAGGAGTGGTTACAGATATA